GCCGTGAAGGACTGAAATCCTGCTGTGCCCGCAAGGTCCCCCTGCTCAAGAAAGCACATCTACAGGCCCGTTTGAAGTTTGCCACTGAACATCTGACTGATTCAGAGGAAGACTAGGTGAAATTGTTGTGGTCAGATGAGACCAAAATCGAGCTCTTTGGCATCAACTCAACTCGCTGTGTTTGGAGGAGGAGGAATGCTGCCTATGACTCCAAAAACACCATCCCCACCGTCAAATATGGAGGTGGAAACATTATGCTTTGGGGGTGTTTTTCTGCCAAGGGGACAGGACAATTGCATCGCATCAAAGGGAGGATGGATGGGGCCATGTACCGTCAAATCTTGGGTGAGAACCTCCTTCCCTCAGTCAGTGCATTGAAAATGGGTTGTGGTTGGATATTCCAGCATGACAATGATCCAAAACACATGGCCAAGGCAACAAAGGATTGGCTCAAGAAGAAGCATATTAAGGTCATGGAGTGGCCTAGTCAGTCTCCAGACCTTAATCCCATAGAAAATCTGTGGAGGGAGCTGAAGGTTCAAATTGCCAAACATCAGCCACGAAACATTAATGACTTGGAGAGGATCTGCAAAGAGGAGTGGGTCAAAACCCCCCCTGACTGAGATGTGTGCAAACCTTGTGGCCAACTAACGTCTGACCTCTGTGATTGCCAACAAAGGTTTTGTCACCAAGTACTAAAGCACGTTTTGCAAAGGGATCAAATACTTATTTCATTCATGAAAATGCAAATTACTTTATAACTTTTTTTGTAATGCATTTTTCTGGATTTTTTTTGTTATTGTTGTGTCTCTCAGTGTTCACATAAACCTACCATTGACATTGTAAACTGATCATTTCTTTGTTAGTGGGCAAACTTACAAAATCAGCTGGGGTTCAAATAATTTTTTCCCTGACTGTAACTGTCTCCTTTAAAGCTGACCTATCCCTAAATTTGGCCTTAGCTGTTCTTGTTAAAAATGGCATCTTGTTCAGCTTCCAGGGTCAATCAGGCAGCAGAAGCAAATGGAGTATTTAGAAGATAAGCTTTTTGGGCACCTCCCAAGGAAACTCTGGTCGACCAAAGTGGCCGTAAGCGGCGGTCTGCTGGTAGATCGGTCTCTTCAACTTCAGTTCCCTAGGGGAGGATACAGGAGCAATGCAACATCAGAGATGAGAAAGGGCATCACAGGATAATACCAGTGATTTAAAAAATGTTTTTATTTATGTTGTCCCTCCCTAGGTTTCCTTTTAATTTCTGATTGATTTCTCATTTACAGACCGAATAATTCTCGTACAAAGTGTAAAAAATGTAAACTTCGAAACTGAAAATTCATCAGAAAATGTAAATCTTTAAATATTGTTGTTACACTGTTATAGCGGTTTATTTTCAAAATATGCTATAATCACTCAAAAAAAAAATTATACACACAGTGGCTTTAAATGAAGCAGGTTTGTCTTGATGCTAAAATACCTATAGTAGGTCATATTCATGAGATACCTGACAATGACTCCTGGCCGCAAATCAAAGTTCTTCTTGACAATTTGGAGCAGCTCTGACTCTGTCTTCTGGGAGGAACCGTAGGTGAACACAGAGATGGACAGAGGCTGGGCCAATCCAATAGCATAACACACCTGTAACACACACAGACAGTAAGACTGAAATTTTTTATATTGATGCTTCAACCACTGATCACTGACTGATAGTTTTTTCTTTTGCATGTTAGTATGGAGGAATGAATGAAGCCATTCACTCACCTGAACCAGAACTCTTCTGCATAGTTTGGCTTTGACCAGAGACTTGGCCACCCAGCGAGCAGCATAGGCGGCGGAGCGGTCCACCTTTGAGAAGTCTTTGCCGGAGAAAGCTCCACCACCATGAGCTCCCCAACCTCCATATGTGTCTACAATGATCTTCCTGCCTGTCACACCAGCATCACCCTGGTGAGCCAAAATATGAGTCAGTGAGAAAGTCAGAAAATCTGTGGCTAACAGTGTGTTTCTAGATGAAATAAGCAATTCATGTGTGATGATCACCTGAGGTCCTCCAATGACAAAGCGACCGCTGGGCTGGAGGTGGTAGACGGTTTTGTCGTCCAGATATTTAGCAGGAACCACAGCGTCGATCACCTGATAGAATCATTAACATTAAAACTGAAGCTATGGCTTAATGCTCTAAGCAAAACATTAGTTGGAGCACAGCTGGTTCTGTTTATGAGGCTCTACCTTTTCCTTGAGGACCTGCTTTTGTTCCTCTAGAGAGATGTAGTCATCATGCTGAACAGAGATTACAATAGTGTGAACTCTCCTGGGGATCACAGCTCCATCCCTCTGGTCATAATGCACCGTCACCTGTGGGACAGAGAAGACATTAAACATTGGTACACAGTGTTGGAATTAAAACAGAACTGTGCCATGTTGACTGGCACGGCTGTGAGCTCGTGTTAACTCTCTTCAGTTAACAGTAAGGATGAGTGTAATACTGCTCAGTTAATTTAGAAATACTTATTTGGTTTTTTTAAAAATACTTTCAGAAGCCACTGCACCGGTGTTGCTTCTGTTTATGTATTGTAATACAATACTAACATCACCTGTGTTTTCGAGTCAGGACGCAGCCAGCGGACGGTGCCGTTGCGTCTGAGTTCAGCCATCTTTGAGTTGAGTTTGTGGGCTAAGACGATGGTGAGGGGCATGCACTCCTCTGTCTCATCTGTGGCGTAGCCGAACATCAGACCCTGCAGAGGTCGGAAGACAAACAGAAAGATGCAAACTGTGCAGTATAACAACACAGATCATCAGTAGCAGTTGAAAATATGTAGTAATGTTTCAAAACACTGATATTCCCTCCACTAAACTGGCCAGTGGTGGGTCAGCTAGAGCTAGTGATATTGACATATTGATCCATTATATCATAAATAATAATAAAAAATCTGAGATAAATCTAACAAAAAATATAAATTTGTGTAGCAAAACTTTGTTTTTCTCTTTCTAATTCCTCCTTAATCATCTCACTACCCTCAGATGTGTCTGGTGATCCAAAGCCGCTGAAGTGAACTACCAGTTGAATTACAGAATGAAACAAACAACAAATGCATGAAACAGAACTGAATTAACACTGAAGTACAGAGCAACACATTTTCCTACCTGGTCTCCAGCTCCGATGTCCTCCTCCGATCTATCAATGTGGACCCCCTGAGCAATGTCAGGACTCTGCTGCTCCAGAGCCACCAACACATTACATGTCTTATAGTCGAAACCTACGGAGGAGGAGGAAATGAATGAGTGAAAAGTTGACAAAACAGAGCAATGTCTTGTCTAATTTAATTGTTTTCAAAGCTATTCTCTCACCTTTGTCAGAGGTGTCATAGCCGATATGTTTGATGGTGTCCCTCACCACCTTCTGGTAGTCTATGTTGGCCCGAGATGTGATCTCTCCACAGAGCAACACCATGCCAGTCTTACACACCGTCTCTGTCCATATAGTCAACAAAAGGCATGTGCAGTGATTTTAAATATAAAATTTGAAAACTTAGAGACAGTCATTGAAACAACAGGCCTGCTTTGTCTGCACAGATTGGGGTATATTTGAGGCTGCATCTACAGATGAACTCACTGACACTGTGACATCATACATCAGCTTTTGTGAGGACATGTTGTGTGTGCCCACCAAGACCTTCTACACATACAGCAACAATAAGCCCTGGTTCACAGTAAGACTCAAGTAGCTTCACCATGCCACAGAAGAGGCTTACAGTAGTGGGGACAGGATCCTGTACAGGCAGGCATTGGCAAAGGAGATCAGAGTAGCAAAGAGGAGCTACTCTGAAAAGCTGGAAAACCAGTTTTCAGCCAGCGACCCTTCATCTGTGTGGAGAAACATCCACTGGCTACAGGATGGTCTTCCCCTTGCTGTGGAAGCTGATTCTGATCCTATTGACAGGCCTGACTGAGTTACCCCGGTCATCTTGTGACATGTAGAGGTAAATACTGAGATGAACAAACAATCTCAACAATGCCAATGACTTAAAATTCAGGTGCGATTCAGGCCAGTGGGTCAGTTTTCCCAAAACTGACCACGTGTTGCCCTTTGTTTTACTTAGAAGCAGTTACAGCAATGACTCTTTAAGCCGCAAATGCAATGAAACTAATCAAAAACTCTGTATGTTTGTGAGTGTGTCCAAGTTCCAGAAACCTGACATGAACTGAACTCAAGTTTACTCACCACAGGCCACTTTGGCATCTGGGTCCTGCTTCAGATGAGCATCTAGAACAGCATCACTGATCTGGTCACAAATCTTATCTGTTGAGAGACGACAAGCAAAAAGCCCAGATTCAAATTTGAATTTATAATTGCTCTTAGATTTCTAGGCCAGTTTATTTGAGATATACAGTATGAGCTTCTGTTGCAGAATTCCCAGTAACAAAACTATATATTGTAGCACTATAACTGTAGATTAACAATAGAAGATGTTAGCATGGGAAACAGGTTGGCAGATATTTTCCAGAAAGGTTATACACAAATATTTCAAACAGTGTTGGATCTTAGTAGTTTTTGCTGGAATTGTGTGCAGCAGCGGCAGGACAATGCCTTACAACCCACTCCATTCACCACTCTCTGTCATCCTACTGTAGCAATGCAACACACCTGTTACATCAGAAACATCTGATTGCATTGATTCTGTAGTACATGGAGCCTCTCAAAATACAAATTTGGTTTGCAGCTGTAGAACCACATATATTGTGACAGATCTCACTATCTGTGGGAACAGGCCAGACTTCGAGGTGTGTTATCACATCAAAAGGTGTGTGCTGCAGCTTCCTGTCAAGGCCGCCCACCTCTGTGAATGTACAAACTACTCAAGGAAAGTCTTAACTCTAAGAATTGTACCACTTGAATTTGGCTTCATATTGCTGCACTGTTATTTAATGTCAAACAAATACAAGATCCAACATCAAGGTTTTCTTTAACGTTTCACTTTACAGTGAGGCTGTAAGAAGATAAATATACCAACACAGTGACATATGAGTTTATCTGGACTGGTAGTTTTGCCTACTGCTAGTATAATAAATCACATACAGCAATGAACAAATGAGAATCAGCCATCTGCAACATGGACATGTTGATTCAAAAGATGGTTTGGATGTAATTTTTGGATTTACATGAGCTTTTTACAATTAGAATTGCTATGCGTGTTCATTTTCTCTCATCATTTCTTTTTCATAGTAACTAGTTCTTTCACCTTTGCATGTTTCTTCATCTTTGTTAATGTCCTTTCTGAAGACATGTACTTATATACTGTATCATAGCTTTTCTTTAAAAATCAATAAGAACTTTAATGCAAATCAGTAATGACAAAGCCAAGTTGAATTTCTCTAGCGCTGGGCTTTACATAATATTGTGGGCTTGCAGTTGTAACATATTTGTCAGTGAAGCTGCATTACTGGTTGACTGCTGTGTTTACTTATTATTGATTTAGCACAGGGGACTTTGTTACATATTTGTGAAAGGATTACAAGACATTGGCAAGGGCTGAGGCTAGAATATAGTACATTTGAACTTTTATCATTAGGTGTTGAGTTAGACGAGCTTTCTCAGAAATGTACAGAACATAGAAACTGTGATAGGCCATTTAAATGATCTGCGACACAAGGCTGTTGTGAAGCAGAAACATCTGATTTGACATGTCCTTCTGTGACTCAGAACCAGCATGTCAGCATGCAACCTGACACCAGCCTATCACAGAAGACATTTCATAAAAGAGAATGAGAGTGAAGGGCAGTACACACATGTTGCTGTGAATGGAATACCAGCAATGCTGGGAGAGTAAATACACAGCAGTTTTGAGTTATTTTGGACCTGTAGTTCAACTTGCACTGAATAGATTTGACATGTTATGAAATACCTCAGATTAAATTGAATACATTTCATTTTTAGTTTGACCTAATGTTCACACACAGGTGCTAAAACTAACTAAGGACTCACCTGGGTGTCCCTCTCCTACGGACTCTGACGTGAACATGAAAGAGCCATCTTCTAGCAGACCACTCATTTTTTCTCAGGGGCCAGGTACTCGGTGAGACCCAGTACGCTCAGGGAGAAAAGGTGGCCTAGTTCCCACGAACAAGCAGTCCAGAGAGATCTCAAGGGGTTTTATATCCCCGCTGGTTTTCTTTAACAGAGAAATAAAGGAGTAGAGGCAAACAGCCCTACAGCCAATACAAAGTCGATCCTACAACACTCCACGTCTGGGTCCACATGGCCCAATATATATGGCTAAGAGAACACACACTCACACACAGTCTCTCTCTCTCTCTCTCTCTTTCTCTCTCTCTCTCACTCTCTCATATACACACTGTCATCTTTCCACCAGTTCAGAGGACATTACACTGACTTACATTCATTTCAGGGGGACTTATCCTAACCATAACCTCAGCCTAAAGTACTGTAATGTGATGATGTAACGATTTACATTTGGGGACTTGCTTTTTGTCCCAATAAGGATGTCGAGTCCCCAAAATGTGACCATGTAAACAGATTTATGTCCCCACAGCATGAGTAATACTAGCCCACACACACACACAGGTCATGTGAACTCATGGATCCCGGGGACAGTCCATTCTGGGGGGGAGTGGATGATGGGAAGGCTTTTCAGCTTGTGGGACGTCCTTATTAACCCTTTGTGTACAGCCTGGCATTTAAAGTCATCACCTCTGCTTCAACAGCTTTGGGTTAGGGTGTGATGGTTTTTGTGTGGTAGCAGGAACATATTAAAGAGGGTACAGCTGGTGGGACAGCTCTGTCTGCTGGAACCGGGCCAGAATGGGGCAACCTTTGATTTGATTTGATTTATTTATTTTTTCAAACATGTAACAACAGTCAGTATGTAATCACACGTAATTCCAGACATATCCACAAAAATATTTTCAATTTGCTTATACCTAGTACATGCTTGAACAGAGTAGGAAGAAGTTAGACTTATCTAGTCCTACCCCATGACATCATCTTATCACCAGGTAATAAATTGTTCCTGGCTTTATACATAAACACAGCAGTCTTATATCCCACTAAATCAAAAAATTTTAACAATTTAGACTGTATGAAAGCTCCATTGGTGTGATCCCTATACCCCATCTTATGCACAATTCTTATCACTCTTTTTTGTAATATATACAATGGTTGAAGTGAGCTTTTGTATGTATTTCCCCAGTTTTCAACGCCATACTCTAAGTATGGTAAAATCAA